TGGACGCTTGCACAATTTAAACTGGTTATATAGTAAATATGTGGGGACAGGAGCACTTTTCCAGCGCTTGCATCCGAAACCGTCCCTCTCGTCTCTGTGTCCTTTTTTTTCCGGAATGCAGCCAATTCATGTCTGTCTGCGTCTTACGTATGATGTTCTGTGTGTGTCACCCCCGTTCTGAATCGCCCACGACAGGATGGCTGGGTGCGAGTCATCGCAGACACAAAGCCCGCCCTGCGACACGTGCAACCCCAGGCAGCACCCGGCCGAGAATGAGACGCGCACACCCACGGCCGACCGAGAGAAGCTCCGGCTGTTATGGCTCGAGGGGCCACGCCGGGACGGGCCACGGAACCACGTCTCATGGCGGCAGTGCCCTCTCGGGAGACTCACACCAAAACCTCACATCCCCCTCACCCCCAGAAGGGGCAGGTCAGGACATGACGCCAAGGTCAAAGGGGAGCTTTTGCGTCTCGTGGCATTTGCTTCTATACGTGAATCACTATCACCTGCTCCGTGCACGATTTGAAACTACAGACCTCCGACAAACACGCTTCTGACCTCAAGGATACACGGCCTAGAGCGCCAATTGCGGTCACCCCTCAGTGGATTGGATTCCCACGTTCAGAAAGAAAGACGCTTCCGGGGTTCCTCTTCCCAGGATGGCCGCTCTGTGCGTCTCAGCAAGGACAAACTTTGGCTTGCGGCAAAGGCAGGCCCGTGGGAGGAAGCGCTCTGTGTAGCTGGAGAAAACAAAGGCCGTATTCTCTGCTTCAAGTTCAGCATTTGGGCTTTTTTGGGGGGGGACAGAGTCTCACTCTGTTGCCCAGGCTAGAGTGAGTGCCGTGGCGTCAGCCCAGCTCACAGCAACCTCAGACTCCTGGCTCAAGCGATCCTCCTGCCTCAGCCTCCCGAGTAGCGGGATACAGGCATGCACCACCATGCCTGGCTAATTTTTATATGAGTTTTTATTGTCAATTAATTTCTTCTATTATATAAGACGGGGGTCTCGCCCTTGCTCAGGCTGTCTCAAACTCCTGAGCTTAAGCAATCCTCCCGCCTCGGCCTCCCAGAGTGCTGGAATGACAGGTGTGAGCCACCACGCCCAGCCCTACCACATTGCCTTTTTAAACACTTGGGAATTATTTTTTCTCAGCCAAATCATTCATTAGTGATTTTTATTTTATTTTAGACAGAGTCTCACTCTGTTGCCCGGGCTGGAGTGAGTGCCGTGGCGTCAGCCCAGCTCACAGCAGCCTCAGACCCCTGGGCTCAAGGAGTCCTCAGCGTTAACTGTGTAGAGCGTGAGGCAAGTGCCACGTGCGCCCCACTCTCAAGACAGAGCCACAAAGCACCAGCAACAGAGCTTCAAAATACACCACAGAAAACTCACAAAGCTAAAAGGAAATACGGAAATCCACCGTTCAAGGCTGGTGCGGCGGCTCACCCTGTCATCCCACACCTTGGGAGGCCGAGCGCGGAGATTGCTCCAGGGAGTTGGAGCCAGCCTGAGCAAGAGCGAGACCCCTTCTCTACTAAAAATAGAAAGAAATTACCTGGACAACTGAAAATATATATAGGAAAAAATTAGCTCCCGGCAGACCCGGGCAGTGGCCGGCCGCGCCCCACGGGGTCAGGGAGGAGCCCGCGTGCCTGCGCCCCTCCAGCGCCTGCCCCGCACGCATTGTTCACGGGAGACACAGACATGTCGACTCCCATCCCCCTCTGGCACTGGACGCCCGCCAACCGTCCTCCCGGCCCCCCGGCCCCCGGCCCTCCCGCCTGCCCCCGCCCGGCGGCCCCCGCGGGCGGTACCTGAAGTCCAGGAAGGCGCAGTACAGGAAGACGCGGCTGCTCCCGTCCGTGGCCTCACTGTGCTGCTTGCGAGTCTGGAACGAGAGAACACGGGACAGGCTCCGTGAAACATGGGACAGGCTCCGTGACGAGGCTCCCTGACTTGGACAGGGCCAGCCCTGGGCGCTGGCGTGGGGCGGAGCCCCTCACACGGAGCCCTGGGGTTTGAGGCGCGTGGCCGCTGGCTTTCTGTCTCCATCCCTGCCGTGGTCCCGCCGCACTCCGCCTGCGCCTCTGTGCCCCACGCCAGTCCACCAGCTGGGCTCCCCACCCCAGGGCCTTTGCACGTGCCGCCGCACCCCCGGAAAAGCGCACCTGCCGGAAGACAACCACCTGCTCCCACTGCAGCTCCGCCAGCCTCTGCCCAAACGCGAGTCCTCAGAGACCCCGAGCCCGTTCTGCGCACTGCCCGCCCTCCTGCCACGTTCTCTCAGTGTGGGTCACCACGGGGCGTGCCATACATTCAAACAGACGACGTGTACCCGCAGGAACACGTTCACTCGTCTGCTCCCCTCCCCGCCTGGAACACGCGACAGTCACCGCGCCCAGAGCCTCTGTCTGTCTCCCTCGCTGCCTCATCCCGGGGCCTGGACAGGGCCGGGCATACAGCAGGTGCTTACTGAGCGTCTGCCGAATGAATGGAGAAAGGGACGACCAGCCAGGAACTCACGTGGCCCCCTGAACACGGAGGGCCACGGCACCGGCGCGCCCAAATCACACCTCCTGACGGTTTCCAGGAGCGAAAGGAGGAGCAGGACAGGAAATCCACGAAGCTAAGGCGCGCTCTCCTCTGGTCTCGGGCTGAGGTCGGACGAGAAGAGCAGCGTCTACACACAAGCACCTGCAGACGCGCCCCGGCTGCTGGATTTGGCGCCGGGGCCGCGGCTGTTTGGAATCTCTCCCGGCGCTTGGGGCTGTGGTTTTCTTCCCTTTGCTCCTCTTGTCGTGAAATTGGCCCAAGTGTTTAAGCCCGAGAGAGCCGATCCCTTAACTCCTCTGCTATTTATACGGCTCTGACGCCCCCCCCCAAGGAGAACTCGGGACGGCGCGCGGGGACCAGAGGCGAGCGCTGCCCACTCCGGGCATCTTTAACCTCTCCGGAGAGGCTGGGCCGCGGTTTCGCCGTGAGGACGGCCAGGGAGTCTGGTCGAAATGGGGCGCGGGGCCCAGCGGCCTCAGCCAGATGGTCCTGCTCCACGTCGCCACGACACCCGTGTCCACGGCGACCGAGACCACCCGCCTCGCGCCTCCCCACCTCCCCCCTCGCTTCGCAGTGAGAGGAGCCCAGGCGGGGCTCTTGCTCAGGCTGGTTTCAAACTCCTGACCTCAAATTATCCTCCTGCCTCAGCCTCCCAGAGTGCTAGCATGACAGGCGCGAGCCTCCTCGCCCGGCCCTCTTCACGGGACATCTGCGTGATAAGTCATTTGTCCCCAGGCCCCCCGTCGGAATCCTTCTGGGACGTTCCACAGCCGCCTTCCAGCGTTATCTGCCTGTGATGCAGCGCGAGGATTCGCCTGGCTTAAAGCAACCCCAACAACAGCCCGCCAACGCCCGGGGTCTGGACAGAGCCCGACTCCCCGCGGCGGGCCCCAGCTTTACGGAGACGCTCCTCACTCGGACAAGAGGCGCGGCCGGCCCTAGTGGTCCTCGTTGTTGACGCCACACCCTCGGCGTTTCCCCACAGCCGGGAAACCCTCCTCCTGGGCCGCGAACCAAAGAAAGGCCTCCAGGTTTTGCTCTCAGAGCGAGGCAACTCTGCCCCTGCTCCGTCTCTTAGGGGCGGGGGTCTGCAGACCGCGGGGAAATTTCAACTCCAGGGACGCCCCGGGGGGCTCAGTCAGAACCTCCCGGGGAGTGTCAGCACTTTTATTTCTGGGGAAATAACGGCGCGGGTTTAAAAGGGTATAAAATTCTGATCTGGTTCTTCAAACCTGGTTCTTTGGCCATTAATCATAACAAATCGCATTTGCGGCCTCCAACGCTCTGATGTAGCCCGTTAAGACGGTGCTGTTTTCCATGGCGGATGAGCAGTCTGACTTGAGAAAAGAAAGTTGGAACGTGGCAGTCCACGATTCGCATTCTAGAACTGTCTGTGGAGAGGACCGCCGTGACTCTGCCCGTATTTTCTGTCCCTACGCTTTGCTTCCCGTTTTCCCCCATTTGCCGCTCTGTACGCTCGCAAATAAAACGGTTTAACCCTTAACTTTCCCGGGCCTCAACCACATGGGAACTCTCTTGCCCCAAAATCTCTTTTCCTGAGTCCACAGCGAATATGGAGCCGGGGGCGGGCACAGACGCTCCGCTCAGCAGCCACCAGGAGACGCAAGGTAAATGCTCCACCGGATGCTACTTCACACCAGGGGGACCACTGAGATTTCGTCTGGCGACGCCGTGAGCAGCCCGGCAAGAGCCGGCAAAACTGAAAGTTTTCCTGCCGTGTGACCCAGCACCCCCGCCCCAGCCCCACATCAGCCCTTTGCACTCGCTTGCTCTTTTTCTCCATTCCTTTATTCTACTCGGGATTTAATTTTGTAAATACTCCAGAATAATAAATACTGGAGTTTCTTTTCATACAGACTTATTTATCTGGATCTTCTTATGTTTCAAACTATTGATACATTCAAAGAGTAATTTTAACCTCTGTGATTTTTCATGGTGTGAGCTGCTACCGATGCCAGCCGTGTCGAGTCACACTCGACATCCGAGTGCAAAGGGTTAAACCGCAGCCATGACCGTCTGTGGAACAGTGGCTAAGCCACCGTGGAGTAGCCTCGAGACGCAGCCACCCTGCCGCCGTGAGTGTGCGTGTGTGTGCATATGTGCATGTGTGCATGCGCACACATGTGTGTATGTGTGCGTGCATGTGTGTCCGCACATGTGTGCGTGTGTGTGCATACATGCATGGGTGCGTGTGTGTGCATGCATATGTGTGCATGCATGTGTGTTCGTGCATGTGCGTGCGTGTGTATGGTGTCTGTGCGTGCATGTGTGTGGTGTGTCTGCATGTCTGCATGCGCGCACACGCATGTGTGTATGTGTGCGTGTATGTGTGTCTGCACATGTGTGCATGTGTGTGCATGCACGTGTGTGCACATGGGTGCATGCATGCATGGGTGCGTGTGTGTTCGTGCATGTGCGTGCATGTGTGTGGTGTGCGCGTGCGTGCATGCATGCATGGATGCATGTGTATGCATGTGTGTTCGTGCATGTGCATGCGTGTGTGTGGTGTGTGTACGTGCGTGTGCGTGTGTGTGTGTGTGTGTTGAGTTGACTGCTGAGACTCACCCACGTTGATTAGTGAAGTTCCAGTTCACTTACTTTGGCTGCTGCTACAGAAAGTCTAAAAACGTCTGAAATTCTTAAAAGCAGTCTTGCTGATGAGGTTACGGTGGGGTGACGGCCGATTATTTCTGAAATGATCACCTGTCATGCCCAGGCCACAAAAATCGTTTCGGGTCCTTTCCAAATCACTGTGTTCGCTTCTCTGGAAAAGGCTTTTACTCCAAGGATGCGCACCTTCCTAACCGGGCAGAGCCTTGGGCAGGGTGAACCAGCCTCGAGCAAACAAAGAGGGTTTCCGAGGAAATGACAAGACGCAGCAGGGGGCGAGCGCCCGTGAAGACAGGGGCTGCGGTGCTCGGAGGCAGGAGACGGGACCCCAGCAGAGTGCCGGGGGCACCTGGGCCTTCCCTGTCGCTAGAGCGGCAGGTGCCCGTGCACAGACGGCTGCAGAGAAGGAACGAGGAGACAGACTGGAAATGACGCCTGGGAACCGGCACGGCAGCAGGGATGGCCGGGGGACCTGACAGAGAACAGCCCAGGCACCGCGGGAGAGGGGACGCCGGCCCTGCCACGGGGTACGGTGAGTGCACCTTTCCCAGACCTGCCCTGCGCAGGAAACTACGGCTGAGGGCCCTGGGCCCGGCTCCTGGACGCACGCGGCCCACGGCGTCCTGGCCCGTGTGAGGGGACATGCGGGAGCGGCTGCATCGCCTGGTCCGACAGACGCCTTCCCCGGAGTGCAGACGGACCGGATAGAAGTCGGTCACGGACAACACCGGACCCCTCCACTCTAAAACATCGGACCGGGCATGCACCCTCACCTGCACACGGGCCCTGGCGCACCTCACAGCCGCACCAGCACAGGTCGGGGACGAGCTGGGGCGGAGGACCGCGGCGTCCCCACCACCCACCGCGGCCGCGAGAGCGCTGGGGCGAGTTGAAGGGAGCTGAAAGCGACAGCCGTGCCCAAGGGTCAGCATTGGGCCGGAGACCCGAAGTCAGCAAGAACGGGAGCCATTGCTTTCCCCCCAAGATTCAGCAAGCACGTGTGGCTCGTTGACTCGCCTGAAGAGACTGTTTCTCGGCGAGGCAACACGCCAAAACCTGTGGCCTCTGCACTCGAGCCAAGATGCCTGGTAACCCCACAGCACGCGGTGGCTAGCGCACTTGCAGACGATCTCGGATCAGGTCTCCTGGCGCTCCGACGCGCGAGATTGTTCGTTATCCGAAAGCAGCGCAAACATCAAAGAGACCTTTGTAGAAGGCCATGCTTTCT